TACCTTAATATTAGGTAAAGGGTCCCCTTGACATTTAGTCCATCCCCATCTCCAAGCCATAGAGTCATGGATTTGATCTTACAACGGCTGGTCTTCTGACCTTGCAGCACAAAGGCTTTTGCGGTTTAACCCGCAGCGCCACCACGTCCCTTAATATTACCTATTCTTAATACCTATACCCCAAATTCGTTTATCTTCTCTAATAGCGTTCTAAAGGAAATCAACCCTGAGTGCTCACTGGAAGGACAGATCCTGAAACTGAGGCTCCGATACTTGGCCATCTCATGAGAAGAGAAGACTCCCTGGAAAAGACCCTGATGTTAGGAAAGTGTAAGGGGAAGAGGAGAAGGGGACGACAGAGGACGAGATGGATGGACAGGGTCACCAAAGCGACCAACGTGAATTTGACCCAACTCTGGGAGGCCGTGGAAGACAGGAGGGCCTGGCGTGTGCTCTGGTCCTTGGGGTCACCAAGAGTCGGACATGACTTAACAACTAAACAAAAACAAAGCAATTCTATAGCTATAGCAAATGATATCAGGGAAAGAGGACTTCATGGTCTCACAAAGTGGCCTGGGAATATTGGTTCGCTTACACCATCACTGACTATTACAAATGCGGTATTTTCTGAAGATGGCTGATTTATCTCTCCTCTAAATTGTTCCCCAAATCCTAATGTTTGTATTACCACTTTTTTAAATTTTATTTTAATAAAAAAGTACAAAAAATACAAAAAAATACGAAAAATACAAAATACCTACTACTACAAAAAAACCCTATAAATTACAAGACTATAAATTACAAAACATAACAGTGCACCCATCCCCCTCAGGACTAGCATTACACTTCTTTCCATCCATTTTCATTCCAAAATTTCAATGTTTCTTCCCTCGGTGTATACCCCCTCCCTCTCCGAAATACATGTTCTAAAAATACATTCCATATTTTTTTAGTCATTATTTTTCATTTGGCCCCTGCTTATTTTCATATCACATGTCAGTTTATCATTAATAGCCATGTCCCACAATTCTCTATACCATTCCTCAAGGTTAAATTGATTTTCATTTCTCCAATTCCTTGCCATAATTATCCTTGCAGCCGTAATCATTATTATTATTAAATCCTTATTTTCATTCACCAATTGATCTTTACTCAAATTCAATAAGGCTGTTATTGGGGACATTGAAATATTCAATCCCATTATTTCAGTTATTTCCTTAAATATTACTTTCCATTCTTTCTTTCTTTTAATGTTGGCCATTCCACACAATCAAAAGCCTTCAAAATATGCAATGTGATTAAGCCCACATTCACTTTTTGTTTTCCTATTACATGTATAATGTTTAGAACTCTTCTTGTCAAATTTGCCATTTGTCTCCTATTATAAAGCCACATTGATAATCCTTGATGTATTTATCAATAAGCTTATTCATCCTATTTGCCATTATTGCTGTAAATATCTTAGGTAAAAGTAGAGGTTCTCCTTGACAATTTGTCCAGTTGTGTCCGGCTCTAGGGCACAGTGCTCATCCCCGTTTCCAAGCCATAGAGCCAGCGTTTGTCCGAAGACAGTTTCCGTGGTCCAGTGGCCAGCACAACTAGACACAGAACGCCATTACCTTCCCACTGAGGTGATACCTATTTATCTGCTTGCATTTACATGCTTTCGAACTGCTAGGTTGGCAAGAGCTGGGACAAGGGACAGGAGCTCACTTTGCCTCGTAGATTCGATCTTATGACGGCTGGTCTTCTGACCTTGCAGCACAGAGGCTTCTGCGGTTTAATCCACAACGCCACGTCCCATGTAAATATCTTAGATCCTGGTTAAACAAAGAAAGAGGTCTATAAGCTCCCAGGTCAGTTAAATTTTTATTCCCCATTGGTATTCATATCATTAATGAATGCTTCCAGGATGTTGGAATCCTATCTCCTTTCACTATTTTTGTTGTAGAGAGACTCTAATTTAGGTACCAACATCATTTTATATCTTTTATCGTATTCTGGTTTTAACCCCTCCGTTCTTGGTGCTTTGTCCCTTTTTAACTTATCAATAGTGTCTCTTAATTTTTAAGCTTCTGTTTGCCTGCTGTATCCCTAGAATTTTAGTGGGCAAATACCATTTTCCCCCTTTAAAGATGGCCCCCGGTGTGTTATTTCATGAAGCGCTGGATTCTGTAGCTGATTCTAACCTTAAAGAACCGGGCTTCTGTTGCGTATTTTAAGGCCCCCCAACTCTCAACCGTATCATCCCCGCCGCTCCAGCCTGGCTCCAACCAAGAGTCGAAAAGGTCAGGAATGGGCGCGCCAATGTTGTGCGGTAGCCGCCAAAGGGGTCGCGCTCGCTTGTGCCACAACCGGACAGCTCGGGGGGAGCCGGGGAGGGAATCCCAGCCTCCCGGACCCGATCCGTCCCAGGCAGTCCCTTCTGGTCGGAGAAGGGCTGCGGGCAGAGGCCGGCGGAGGAGTCGGGGCGGCGGCAAGGCGCGCTTCTCCTTTCGCCGCCCCTTCCCTGCGAGGACACCCCCGCGCCCCCCTCCTCTCCCCTGGCTTGCTCTTTAGGTCAGGTTAGGCGATGGGCCCGAGTCCGAACCAACGTCTAGCGACCCGGACAGGCCTGTCAAGGGAAGTGATGGGCGAGCTATTTAAGGAGTGGCTTTGCCAGTTCCTCTCCCTCAGAGACCTCCCGAAGCTGAGCGGGGATTTGAACCCAGGCCTCCTGTGTCCTAGTCCCTCATTCTGTCCAGGACAGCGTGCCGGGTTTGCTGGTTAGCCCTCTTGGCTGTTGGGGGTGAGAGAGTGCGCCCCGGTAGCCTTGTTGTGTTTGCCATGATCCGGAAGGGACACTTCCCCCCCCCCGTTCATTTCGCCCCCTCCCTCTAGATTCGCTTTTGGTTCTAATCTGCTGAAAGGTCTGAATCCGTGCCAGGCCTCCCAGCGCACGTCCTCCTAAAAGACCATTCGGAGCGGGGCCGCACAAAACGCCCCGGGGCCCGTTTGCCTCCGATTCGGCCGGCTGGCTCTCCCCCGACTCAGCTGGTCGACCTCCAGGCGGCCCCTCCCTGTGCGAAGGAACACGAACGGTCCGGCTCTCCCTCGAACAAAATGCTGAAAAGGCGGCTGGCAGCAAAACCGCTGGCCTGAGATTTGGCCAGCCCTCTTTTTTT